AGGGCCTTCAGAACCTCCAGAAGCTCCCTTAAGTGAAGAGGATGAAGAGAGGAGCCTCTTCTCGATGCATGGGCGCGCAGAGCTGCCAAAAGGCAGGAGTGGCTTCTCAGGAAGAGGTCTCCTTGAGAGTAAGGCTTGGGGCTAATTGGCCACTCCCTTAGCCTATTTAAGGAGGAACGCCAACTGAAGCAATTTGCAGGGAACAACTTGGTTCACATACCTTCGTGCCTTGATCTTAGTTCTTTGCAAATTGCTTCTGGGCTTTCTGCCAACCATAGTAAGATTAAGATCATTTATTCTTTGGATTCTTGCAGACTGTTAAGAAAGTTAATTAACAGTCTTTGTTTGAAGAAAAAACTGATTTTATTTTAGTAAACTAAGGTTTGTACAGACTTTGTGTGTGCTGTGTTCTTTGGGGTCCGTAGCTGGGGCAGAACACCTACTTAATGACTTGCCTCCAGACGTTGTGGCTGCTCTAGCACTGGAGATTTTTAAACAGGGATTGGACAACTATTTGTTTGAAATGCCTGAACAAAAGGTTGAACTAGAAGATCTCCAAGGTCTCTTCCAGCTCTGTTATTCTATTAATATAGGCCTGTCCAGAGAGCTGTATGACAGAGACCTGTTTTTAGTCAATTTTTCATGACTACATGCCCTACCAGCCCCTGGATCAATTTGTCACTGGCATGAATTGCAGAAGCTTCCACATCACAGTAACGTTATATATAAAGCAGTGCAACAGAGGTTCACTTAGCATAAAGGAAGCTCCAGTCTTGTCTGGGAGGAGACATGAGACCCAATCAGGGAGTATACTACTTTCATGAAAGGCCAAAGGAACCTTTGTAAGAAGATAGACATACTTTTTCTTACTGTCTCTCTTAGCTGTTTTCTCCAACACTGCCCTCCGTCGCAGATAATCGTTTTGAATTTCGTTATATTTTGTGGTATGCTCTTTTATAAGATCTGTGGTTTTTTTGTGATGTTTCTTCACAAGATCCTTCATTTCTTTGTAGTGCTTCTTCTGAAGTTTCACAAATGCCTTCTGCTGCTTTAATTCCTCAATGGTTTGTGCTTCAACTTCTGCAAGAATAAGGGGAATTATGTGATTGCCGCACAACACTAGACATGCAGGGGATATGCATTGTTTTATTAACAGGATTTTGCTGCTACTGCACAAAGCTGCATTTAAAAGCAATTATCCTGTTCCAATAGAAGAGAATGTACATAGCTTAGAATTGAACTGTGGGGTCTCGGTGCTCTCTGAGCTTGGTTGTTTGCTTGTAAACACTGTCCCAATTAGGTTAACATCAACAGTTTAGGGGTGGGATTTGCTCCCTGTTTATATACAGTAGCTTGTCCTGCCAGTTTTGTTGACAGTGTGGTTTTCTCCTTGGTAGATTCTCAATTGTTTTTTCTGCTTGATTGTTTGCCTGGTGTTAATCCCTGCTTATCTAGCTGCTGGCTGCTAGAGAGGATATCTTTTGGTATATTTTTGTACTTCTTAGTTTTTTATTGTCTCTTTTGAGTGGTGTATAATTATGATTTATTTCTATATATGTGCATTGACGGCTGATTTGAAATTGAAATTAAGTCTGTTCATGAGTTGTAAAATTAAGGAGTTTTCATTGTGTCTTCTGATTGCTAGTTGATGTTCTTGGATGTGCTTTGTCTTCTAATTGTCTATCCTACATAGTGGTTGTTAACAGTTTTTACATGATTCCTTCCCCCACCACCCACCCTTGGGCTGCTGGGTTTTTTGGTTTACTTATGTTTTGGAGGGTTTTAGCTGGTTTGTGTGCCATGGTGATGCTATAAGGTTGTAGTAGGTTGTTGGTTGTTTTTTATATGTTTTTGATGTATAGTAGTATAATTCTTTTCAGAACTTGTGTTTGTTGGGTTGAGTAGTCAGATACTTTTTGATAAAGTTATATGGATATCCATTTTGTTGGAAGATATTGTTTAGGCAGTTTGTTTCCTTCTTTTTTGATGTTATGGGTTACTGTAGTATGTTGGAATCATCTGAATTCATGAGTATAAATACACTGCGTTTGTACTTGGCTGAATTGATTACTGCATTGCACTTGTATTGCATTGCATTTGTACATTGCAGTGTACACTGTACACTCTGCACTACACTTGTACACTGCACTGAATGTGTGCTCCTCTGAATTGCACAAGTACATACTGTATCCACTGCAGCAACCTCTTTCTGTCTTTATGTGATCTTATGTGTCGCGGTGTTGAAGTGGTTAGAATGCAGTACTGCAGGCTACTTCTGCTGACTGCTGGCTGCCTGCAATTTGGCAGTTCAAATCTCACTAGGCTCAAGATTGACTCAGCCTTCTCTCCTTCCGAGGTGGGTAAAATGAGGACCCAAATTGTTGGGGGCAATATGCTGACTCTGTAAACCGCTTAGAGAGGGCTGTAAAGCACTCTAAAGCAGTATATAAGTCTAAGCGCTATTGCTATCTTATCAGAATTATATAATTCAAAAGTCTCAACTTGTATGAATTATGTAATTCAGAATATTTGAAAGATAAAGGTATTTCAATTCGATTTATTTTGCTTCATCAGCCATTGTTATTTATACTACTGAACCACCTCACCTGGAGATAGGCATACTACTAAATAGCCCCCACATTTATTAATACATTCCACAATATAAAAATGATCCAGTTCAGTCTTTTTTTTTTTTTACAAAAGCAAGATATATTCTATGTAAGTACATCTACACTGCTCAAAAATATAAAGGGAACACAAACAGAAGAAATCCGAGATCTGAATGAATGAAATAGCCTTATTAAATACTTTGTTTGTTACATACAGTGGTTTTGTGGTCCCTTTAGGTGTTTGAACAGTGTATAAACTACTGTATGTAAAGAACAAAATATTTAATAAGGCTATTCCATTCATTCAGATCTCGGATGTCTTCTGCTTGTGTTCCCTTTATTTTTTTGAGCAGTATATTATTTAGTTTAGAGAATTCTAGTTATTTCTGGTATGTAAATTTATAACATGTTCTTTACATCAGATCAGCAAGGTACATGTTATTCATAAGGAATACAGAACATTTATATCTCAAGAAGCACCTTACCCATATTTTTATGCAAGCAGATTGCACATGTAACTCATTGCTCATTTCTGTGTTTGAAAACAGTAAATGATCCTGTATTGTTCCTTGAGAAGTAAAGGATAAAGATATCCATCTGTGTATGCTCATGTATACTCACAAGAGCTTTTGTACAGCTTTTAAGATTTTTTGTTTTGACCACAGCTTTTTGCTCTAAAGTGAATGAATTTATACAGCAAATCCAAGAGTTATTTGATCATGCCACGTAGAAACTACTGATGCTTGGAGGGAACTCTATTTAATCTATTATTTGCATTGCTGTTTATATGCCAGTTTATCAAATTCAAACACATGCAAATGCATCCTTGATCCTTAAATATGGACTCAGACCTAAACTCAGTCATCATTTGGATCCCAGTTATTCATCCTGCCGGAGTGAAACTGGTGCATTCCAGTAATTTGGCCTCACTCCTTAAAATTTAAAATTCCTTAAACATATAATTATTCTTCCTAGATGATAGTTAAAGACCACCAGAGTCTTAACTATTGCAGAGTTTAACTATTGTTCAGTCATTCTGAACAATAAACAGATTAAAATAGCTATTTGTATGTGGTATGTTTTTTCTTGCAACATTCCCATTAATTTGTTTAAGAGATACTGTTGTACAGCACCATCGTGTTTCTTACCTGTCAGGACACTCTGAATCAGATCTTCTGTTTTGGCTGGAACTTTCACAGAACCTAGGTGTAAATAACATCAATATTTCAACTGGTCTGAAATGATGAATACAAAACCGTCATTCTTCTCATTGGCTCTGAAAGAACCAGAGGATATAATGCCATCCTTGTTCATGCTGTATTGACAAATAACATGTTTTTAGCTGTAGATCAGGCTACCCCAATCCACTACCTGCCCTCAAATCAATCCACCCAGCCTCTAATAACAGAACAGCTTTCTAGGTTCTGCCCCTTTGAAACAAAGTTAGCATCTACATGGAAGCAGTTTTGTCAGCAGCTGCTCCAAATTGAGAGTTGCTCATTGGCTGAAGCTTGTCTAGTCCTAACTCTGAATCTTCAGGCATAAGATGAAAACCTGGTTTTATTTCGTTGATCTACTTTTTAGCTCCTAAAACCTGTTGACTGGCTGAGGCTTTGATGTACGCACTGTGTTTTTTGTGACTTTAAATACAATCTCTTGTTTTTCATTTGTATTAGCTGCTTTGAAAGCTTCATAAGAGAAAAGTAGGTTAAACATATTTTAAAAACATCCCTGGAGCAGATGATAGAAAATTGCCTCTTCATTATTTGATGGTATTAGTTCCTTTTCTTAATGTGTGAGTATATATTTAATGTTAAATTGGGGCTGTATTTCTGTCCCAGCATACAAGTCACATTATCTCTCTGTCTGCACCTACCCCATGCAAGAAGAAACTTTTGTCCCTGTTATCTCTGGGATAGTAAGAGCATTTACCTGCGTACCTCCATTACCCTAAGTGGTCCAAGCCACTTACAGTCACTTACTGAAGTTGAGGTTGGGTGTTCAGGGAGATATATACTTACAGGCGAGTGCTGTGGCCAAATATTGCTGCTATTTATCTCAACAATAAATAAATTATGCATCAATCCTCCTGGTTAATCTGCCCCATGAATGTAAACAGGAAAAGGCTTGTTGCCCCACTCTATCACTGCTGTTTGTTTCAATGATTGCTAGAAGGTGAGGCTATCCATTGTGATTTCACACTAATGTTGCCCATGTCACGAGACATGGCCTTTGTGACCTCAAGATGATGCTTTCTGTTTAAAGGAGACAGTCTGTCCATTGGGACCTAATGCAGATGACATTTGGCTGAGAGAAAGGATCTGCTCATGGTTAACTTGTACTCTCAAGAAGATAAACTGGATGGGTGCCCCATCCTTTTAATCCTGTTCCTAAGATTGGGTTATGGCAGACTTCAGCTGCTCAGGTGCCCTGCAGATTAATGAACTTCAATTCTCAGAAGAGAGAAGGACAGCAAGAGGTATTTTTGTTTCCCTTGCTCTCTCTTAGGCATTGTTCTTCAAAGTTTCCCATATCCCTTTGAAATAAAAGCAGGGGACAAGATGCTTCTGCAGGCAATAAATACTTCTTGAAATCTTTGCAAACAAAATTGCTGACATTCACTCTCAAATGTCTGCTGCTTGCTTAGTTTAGTAGAAAGATAATCCCATTGTAAGATTATCTGGGATTATTTTGTGGGATCCAAGGAAATGATTAAGAAACTTTTTACTATACATTTTTTGAAGGTAGGAATGGTCCCTTTAAATTTGATGGAGGCAATGATAATTTCCTTATGAAGAGGTCATCTCTTAATCCAGAAGCCTGGACAACTTCTATTCATTCTACAATCTTAATTTTCTGATAGATTTTGCAGAAAGTGACAGGGTTTCAGCTACAAAAGTTCTAGAGGTAATGAATTATCTGGATTTCTTCAGTTGCAATTCAGACCAGGGCATGGGACTGAGACAGCATTAATTGCTTTGGTGGATGGCCTACCTAGTGTGTCCCCCTAGATATCTTGGTAGCATTCACTACCATTGATCATGGTATCCTTCTGAATTGCCTGCAAGGATTGAGGGATGAAGGCAATGAGTTACAGTGATTCCATTTCCTGAGTGGATGGTTCCAATTGGTGACCATGACGGAGGAACACACGAACCCATGGTTGCTCTAATATGGGTTGCTGCAGCAGTTCTCTCTCTCTCTTCCATGTTATTAATATCTACATAAAACTGCTAGGAAAAGTCATCCATCCATTTGAGACAGAACCTTCAATACGTTGTGATATTCAGTTACACTTTGCCACCAAGGCCAAGGTGGAGATACTATGGTTCTTACTTAGTGACTGGAGGCTGTGAAGGGCAGGAGGAGATGAAAGAAACTCAAAATGAATTCTAGCAAGATGGAGTTGCTCTTCATAATTAAACAATTTGGCTCAATTTTGGTGTCAATGTTAGCTCTGTATAGGCAACAGATCTATGACCTTGGGCATCCATGCCTTCAACCCCACCTGGTTTGACTACTGCAACATTCTTGATATGGGCTGCCTTTGAAGTTGACTAAAAATGCAATTGCTTTAAAATACAGTGGGTCTGGCAATTAATATTGATAAGATTGACACAATCTCTACAGTAGGATTGCATGCAAGCATTTGTATAAATAAATAATAGCTGGTGCATAAAGACTTGTACTGAATTCGTTTTTACAGTACATAATGGAAGCATAGATATAATGGAAGAAAACTGATTTTTTAAAATAAGCTCACACATTTAGAGATTTTTGAGCATTAAAACATTATTCTGGGGATTAAAATGTCTTAATCCTGCATTGGATATGTTCATTATTTCTTTTGTAATATGCTAAATATGCAGCCTCTAAAGAATGAAACTTGACTGTTCTATCCTTGCTTAGTCCTAACTATTTTTCCTTGAAAACTGAAAGTCTAAAAGGTCAGATGCTGGAACTTAGTTCTTTAGCAGGGTCATAATATCAGTGACCTGTTTTGTTCTTCTTGAGTCACACTGGCTCCAACTATCCTAGAACCAAACTTTTACCACATAGCTTCAACTATAGCAACAGCAACACAACCAAAATCTCTCTAGCAAATGGTTTCCTAGAGTCTATAAACTCTGATCATATTCTTGATAAAGCATTAAAGCTGGTCTAAACAGGACACAGCCAAATTCTGCTATGGAATGTATTTAGCATTCTCTATCTGGTCTCAAAGCCCACCAGTTCATCTGATCTTTCATCTATATCCTAAACTTCTTCAAGATGTGTACATAGAAGACAGACTTTATCTACACAACACCCCATTGAGACTTAGAAATTGCCATTTGCCCATGATCTTGCCCATGGTCATGAGCTTCCTAGCTGAGCAATGATAGGCCATTGTTCAGAACCAATGTATCTAGCGAATATATTCTTTTATAATTTTATTTCTCTGTCACTCTTCCTCCTGTGGATGCCTGCTACAGACCACAGACCACTGAGTCTAGCTTTCTTTCTTTCTTTCTTTCTCTTTCTTTCTTTTTCTTTCTTTCTTTCTTCTTTCTTTCTTTCTTTCTTTCTCTCTCTCTCCTTCCTTCCTTCCTTCCTCTTTTTTTCCACATTGGAAGATATGAATAGAGATTTTGTTGCAAGCATTGCTTTTCAAGCAGTCACAGATATAGATGTAACCATCAAAAGTGATGTAATTTTTTTTCCTGGCCAGGAGAAATTTAGCTCTTTTTTAAAAAAATAGAAGAATAGCCCCAAAATCATGCACTATAGTATAGTTCTTACCCAGTGTTGGTTGGCTTGGAACAACCTGAGTAGAAGGTTTAGGGCTGAGAGATGTAGTGCAATTTACTCCATTTTCTGCTGGTGTAGGTTTTGGTTCATTGTGAGCTTCTGAAGGCGCATCTCCTTGTTCTGCCTAACAATTCAAAACATTCCCCATAAAATATGAAAAAAGGATCTGCGATTAGAGAACTTGCATGAGGTTTTTACTTTTAACATGTACAGATTCCACCCATAACAAACGCTGGTATTCCTGTACTAAGATTTATTCAAATTGTTCTTTGTTAAGAAAAATTGTACTTCTTCTCATTTCACCATCAAAAAAGGCTTGCATAATAAAATAAATCTAGCTGCCATTATTACTGTTCAACTCTTCTGATTACTTACAGGTAAATGGGGGAGGTTTTTTTTTTTTTTAAAAAAAACAACAACACTTGAAATAAAAAAACCCTATCATTTTAACAAATAAATAGGAACAATCCAATTTCAAAATTAATATATAATTAAATATACAGAGACCCCACTTGGAAAGCTGCAGAACCTATTATATAGATCGTGTTGGTAAAATACACCCCTAATTTTAGCTGTAAAGAATCACCATGTCAATTAACCCTGGCAATGGAAAATGACAGTAACACACATTTTTAACGTCAGTTTCTTTCATTGCTTTTCATCCAAATTTATTCTCCCTGAAATTAAAAAGAAAACCTAGGCTTAGGCACGCCAGTAAGTCACGATCGTCCCATTTCTGCCTACAGAGCTCTGTAAGCTACTATGTTTTAAGGTAATAACTATGCAAGGACATCAGCAGAATGCACCAGTTACCACTTAACACCATATGACAGAGAATGATTTCTTTCGCTTTCCTTTCAGGGTTTGTGTCCCAAAAGTCTGATTACTAATTCACCACTGAGGCACAGCAATAGTTCCCAGGACAGCTCGCCCATAATTATATTCAACAGATAAGCTTACGTAAACAGTACCTCCATCCTTGCCGCATGCTTGGATGACTATGCCTGTACCGTTCAACCTGTTTAAACATTCCCAACAACCTGTACTTCCTTTACCAGCTCTCAATGCCCATGTTTAGAGCCTCATTCCTTTTTACTAGGCACTAATCCTCTCCCCCTTGCTTAAGGTCCTATTTATCGGAGGAGACTGAAGACTCCTGCGAGACAACTGGAAGGGGGGAAGAAGATCCATAGTTACAGAGCACAGCTAAGCAGTTTGCCTCCTTGAGGTACGAAAATTTATATAAGGAGGACCTGTTGCCATGGTACCTTGCTGGATTAGCTTCTCGGGAGATTTTCATTAGCATTCTTCACTGGTAATAAACTGATGAGAGGGGGGAAAGAGACAGTTCTTTTCTCAAAACCCTTCACCTTTCTAGTAAGAAGGTATAGGTTGAACAACAGGGTGGGATAAATGAAACTGAAAACTCTGTTTTTGCACGACACACTACCGATAAGGTTTTCCTTCCTGCTCCAATTTAGTGCTTCAGAGGATAGCAGGCGTAAATTAGCTCTATAAGGTATAAGTCTATACCTTACAATACATCCAGTCTTTCAAATGTAGGAATTATCTGTTTACATTTCCTCCCTAAAAAATTGAGGCAAGGTAGCTAATAAACAACTCTATATTGAATTTTGTTTCTGGCACCTATTGAATAAAAGGAAGAACAAGGGGAAAAAAAGGGAAAGTACAGTATAATAAATAAAAGCTTGGCATTTTTGCAGATTAAACCAGCTAGTTCATAGAGAGATACAGGCATTTATTTGGCTCCTCATTACAAAGATATTTATTTTGCTGGAACAAAAATGCAACGTCTTAAAGAGCTGGAGAGAAGCTGCTTACAGAAACATTGATGTAATGCTGAATTACAGCCAGAGCAATTGTTTGTGGAGGGATCCCTCACCTGGTGCTGAAAGATAACTGCATCTGGAGCAATGCAGCAGATTTATCACACAGTCTAGTGCACATAAAACAAAGTGAGAAAGAGGGAGATGATTTCCTTGGGGATGGGGAATTTTAACACACAAGTGTTCAGACTTGTAGAATTATGACTATGCCATGCTAACTCAAGCATGGTTGACAAAGATGAATAAAACAATTTAGGAGTGCTTTATCTTTTTTTTCCCTAATTTGGAATTTGTTGTGGTTTGCATTTTTATTTTTGGAAGCTGTTGCATCTAGAAAACAAATGTTCAATTACAATGAACAGGGCTGAAAAATATAAGTAGGTGTTCAGATATTATAGCTAGGAGATTTGGGGGAAAGGCTGATCGTTTGAGTTATTTGAAAGGTTTACACAATACATATCGGGATTTATGTCCCTTTTCCAGATATGCGGATTCTGTTTGACTGATCTCTAACCATGACTCAGTTGTCCAAAACCATGGAAGCTTTGACTAAATGCTAGTTAAGCAACTAGCTGCAAGATATAATATCTTTAATAAAATGATAAAAGTAGGGACATGATGTACACTTTTTTAGTATGTGTGTATGATGTTAGGACACGTGCAAAAGAGATGGACTTTGTGGCACAATGGTATGACACTGCCTTTATTGGTTGCCCCCTTGCCCTCTCACCCAGCCCCCCTGAGGGAATGTCTCTGTTAGAGACAGTTTGTTTAACTGTCTCTAATTTATGGGACTCAAGAAGAAAATAACATTTTCGTAGAAAACCACTGCACTTAATATTATTAACAATATTTGTAGTTTTAAAAGTTGATAATTATTAAGAAAAGTAGTTCTTTCCAGTCATGAAAATTAAATGAAATGTGCTGTTCCATGTCTAAGCTTTTTCAAATTTACAGAAATTCAAATGTATATAGTAAAAGCTGGCTCATATATGTAAATCAAAATACATGTTGTTGACAGAAACATGCAGAAATATACATTTTATGTTGGGAATGCAACCTTCTGAAGGGAGGCATTAACTTGTGAGGATCACTTCTCTTATGCTACATTTTAGGAAACTGATTCAAAAAAGAAAAAGAAATCCATTCTGTTTCTTATAGTAGCCAATTACATTGAATAAATCCACGTTACAAGTCATGATGGAATTAGATTTTACCTGCAATGCAGAATGCAATGGCTAAAACTTTTTAAAGTTTCTGTTACTGTTATTGACATTATTGGAACACGGAACTGGATGGGGAGAAATAGGCTTAGACTCATCTCAAGGGACTGTGGATCTGGAAACCAACCAAGACTAGAGATAGTTGATGTGTGTCTCTGGATAGGGTAATATTCTCCTTTACCAATTGACCCCATACTGTGTGGGTTTCTTGGAGTCATAGCTTCTGACTGAACAATAGGTGGAGAGACCATTCCCAGGACAGCTCTTGGGCCTTTTTTGTGCCTTTTTTATTTTTATGAGGCAGCTTTCATTGCAGTCCCTTGTGTCCTTTTCACTACATGGATAGAATATTGTGATATGCTATATATTGGGTTGGTCTTGTAGATATATCCTGAAGTTTCAGGTGATGTAACTTGCACTAACCTACCATAGTTACAGGAACATCGAGGTTCACCCATGTAAGAGCATGACTACGGAAATTGCAATGGCTGCCAGTTAGGTTTTGGGTGCAAGCATGTCTCCTTTAAAGACTTACATTAATTAAAGTCTGGGTATACTATGCTTGCCTCTTCCAAAGTGAATCTACTATTTAGAAAGCCCCCAGACAGTCTGACCTCTGAGGGAAATAAACTTTTATTATATGGGTGTCCCTATAAATTATTTAAATAAATAAACTTTGACCCAAGATTTCAGACTTTCTCAGTAATACACTCCCTGTCCCTCTGGAAGCAAATAAGCAAGCAAATAAATAAATGTTTCAAATACCAGTTTATTCAACAATATTACCGAGCAGTGTGTGTAAATTGAAATGTCATCACTTTGAATAATGGAATCTGTTCACTGTAGAACAAGACCAGCCACATGAGTGACTCCACAATTTCCTGCATGTCTTTTGATTATCCCAATCTTTCTATAAAGGAGCAAATTTCAATGTAGGGCATACAACTTAAGAAAATATTAAAAATTGACATGTGTGGGATACCCTTTACAATGTAAATTTTTTTTCTACAGTCTTACAGCATCAAGCAGTATGCTCAAATGACCCCTCTGTTATTTCATCAAATCCCAATTCTTACCTCCTTCTTTATTTCTTCCTCGTCTTCTAGAGTCAGTGCTGCCAGTTGTTTTGCTCTCTGCTCCATCAGGTTTACGTATCTGATTGGATTGGATAATGCCTCAATAACATCTGCAAATGAGGGAGAGATTTAGAACCCAATGCTGCTTTCTATTGAATAGTGCTTATTTTTTTTTTATAAAAACTGATCTATCATCTTAAATTTAGGCTGATTTTTTATATTTATTAATCTTCAAAGCCAGTTTTTTAAAAATAGGGGTCTAATGCAACTGGAGGAAGAGGAATTAAATGCCAAGTTTGACATAAAAAGCAGGGACGAGTGCAGGAAGGAGCAACATCAATAGTTTACAAGGAAAGCACAGCAAAATGAAATCAAGGAACACAGTTCAAAGTCCTCAAGAACTGAGCACCTTCTTCTAGGACACAGATTGTTGGGGGCAATATGTTGACTCTATAAACCGCTTAGAGAGCACTGTGAAGCGGTATGTAAGTCTAAGTGCTATTGCTATTTCTCACTGTTTCAAATTCTTAATGCAAAGGTTCAGTTAAAGTAGTTATTTTAGATGCTGACAATATATGACACTTTGTAAATAAAATAATTGTAAGTTACATTTCTATTTTATCTTTATAAATTTGATAGTTACCTGCATAGGTATCAGGTACGTAATCTTTCACCTCAATGTATACAAATATGGCTGGCAACATCAAGGGCTGATTCCTTTCATTCCTTAGGCAAATATAATGATAACCTGGGGGAGAAAAACAGTGGGACAGCTACTCTCTCTGGGCCTCCATTTCTCTTACAAGTTAACGAATGCAGCGCTGCAGGCAATAAAAGCACACATCACAAAAAAACTGATAAATGTTTAACTTGAGTAAGACAGTTAACGTTCAAATTCATGAAAGTAAGCTGTAAAGAACAAAGGCCCATCCATTACAATATTTTTGTGTGCCTGAAATGCCCAATGACTCAACTGACTCCTTGTGGCTTTCTTTCATTTGAATGTTTATATTTTAAAAATCACCTTTTGATTAAAAATCTGAAAAACTGGAACTGGAAAACTACCTGGCAGCCATTTTGTGTCACCACCTATTAATGTGTTCTCACAATGCAATTGTGCCCCCTGAGTCCAAAGAGAGTGGTAAGACTTTCTTAGGTGCTTGAGCGGCAATATGTAACTTTGGGAAAGTCCAGGTTTATTAGGAAGCTCAAAGGTAAGCTCAAAGAATAAGACTTAAAATTTGCTACTGGAGGATTATAAATGGAAGATAATGTTTGGTGTTTCAGGCTTGCAACTGCCTAGAAGCCCTCTCAGAGAAGGGAGAAGTCATGAAATTAAAGGTCCGATAACATTGTGGACCAAAGCAGGAACTCATCTCAGAGATAAGCCAACTTGAAATAGAGTTTGAGGACTTGTGAAAGCTTCCTTTCCCATATGTCATTTCCTAAATGGTCAAGGCCAGTTTTGGGATCAGGTTTAATGCCATTTCTCCTGCAAACAATCTCTGCAGGAGGGAGCAGCAGCAGTCTTGGCTGGAGAGTCAAGGGGAAGGAGGCTGATTCAGCTGACTTGGGTCTCAAGATGCCATCCCCTAGTAAGTCCTGTCATAGTTGTATACTTACATATGCAGGAAACATGTTACCTGAGTTCTGTTTGCCTTCTTTCCTTCTTTCAAGATTAATGCAATGACAAAAACAACAACAATAATTCAAATCTCTACCTGGTCGAATTGCTGATACTGGTAATATCCGATGCCCGATAAACTTTCCTCCTTCTTCATAAGCAGCTATCCTCAAACATGCTAGAGAAGGCAGGACCACCTGAAGAGAGATTTTTTTAGTGTTTTATGGTGCACTACATACACAGAGTTGGAATAAGAAGCATTTTCACAGAGATATTTCTGAAAACTGTTAACAGGATTTGAATAATACTTGGATAATACAGTCTGAGTCTTTGGCTAAATTTTCTCTCACTCATTCACATACAGAGAAAAAGTACCCTTGGGAACATCATTCTTGGCAACTATATAAGCATGTCCATGTAGTAGTTTTCTTGGCAACTGTACAGAAGCCGTTTGTTTTTTTCTAGGATTTTTTCTACTTTTCAATCTAGTCTATACTTCTGAGATTTCTTGGTGGTCTCCCATCCTAATACTAATCAGATTTCAGATTTTACCCTGCATAACTAACTGAGATCAGCTAAGGTCAGCCACAAGAAAGAAAACAAAAAAGATAATCAATTCTCTTTTTCTAAATACTGGAATGAACTGTAGTAAAGGAATTTAAAAACATTTTAATTAATAAGAAAAGCATCTTTTTTTCTCTTGCATGTTCTTTATGATGACAGGTAGTCTCATTTCAACAATTGAAATCAGCAATTCAATCACTAAACAAAGTGGTTGCTAAGTGAAACTGTGATTATGTTTCTGGTCTTCACCTCTGCTTTGCTTTATAGACGTGCAAAGGTCATAAACTTGAGCATTGGTCATAAAGTTAGTTTTTTATCATTGTCATAACTGCGAATAGTCACAGAATGAGGCAATTGTTAAGTGAAGACAACCTGCATTGTCTCTTCAAGATGGTTCTGATCTGATATCACAATTGGTCTGATGTCACATAGAATCCTCATAGAGTCTCAGCAACAGCTGATGTCAATAGAATCCTTTTAATTCCTAAGACTTATAACTGACAGCGTGAAGGCAATGGAAGACTGAGAAGGGGTTATGTGGAATCTTCTGATATCTAGGAGCAGCCCACAACCCACAGAAAATGGCCACAGGATTTTACATGAAAACTTGTGGATGCCAAAATGGCTCAAATCATGTCAAAGAGTTCATGTCAAAAGCAGGAGGATTTGGATGAGCAATAATCAGCTCATCTCATGGGCAGTAAGAGTTCTCATACTACTAAAATTCAGTACTCAATTGCTCTGAGTAAAAAAAATGTAAGTATATAAACCATTTGATGTATCATGTTTGTTAGTTTCATTCTTCTTCTGTAACTCTATTAGCTCAAACGTGTGTATCATTAAACATTAAATGTTTTTCAATACCTTGTTTCCTTGAAAATAAGACATCCCCCTGATAATAAGACCAATCAGTCTTTTGAGCGCATGTGTTAAAATAAGCCTCCCCTGAAAATAAACCCTCCCCAAAAATATTTAAACGCAGAGCTGGAAATCAGGTAAGATGGCAAGAGGAGCCCCATCTTGCTCCACACACCTCAAAATAATAAGACCTCCCTGAAAATAAGGCCAAGTGCTTATTTCGGGGTTCAAAAAAATATAAGACAGGGTCTTATTTTCGGGAAAACACGGGTATTTGGCACCTAAAATAGTCGATAATTTTCCCATCATTAGCTTTAATGTAGAGTGGAGACTCACATCTGGTTTTCAGAATGCACTTTTCATGTGCCAATCAGTTGCTGGTGCAGAACTGAGCTTAAAAGAACAAGCTTTCAACTAACTTCTTCTATATGGTTCTGCTTATCTCAGTGTCTGAATGATCTTGGGCATATTATTCTCTCAACATTAATCCCTCTCTTCTTTCTTTATCATGGATATATTCAAATGTCTTACAGACTACATTAGGGCTTACAAAAAAGTATTACATTTTTCTTTAGACACTTCTTAATATTAATTCCCCTTTCTTCCTAAAAACCCTATCAAATATTTCACAATATCCTAGAAATATAATGCTTTATATTACTATGATTAGATTTATGATTTTCATTTGGGAATAAGCTATTCAATAATTGGGTTTTCTTTTAATTATTTGTGTACTGTGTCATTTTAGGTGGGATAATGGCTATTTATTGATTTTTTTTTTAAAAAATTGCAATTTATAAAAGTAGAGGAAAAAGTAATATGCAAAATAAATGAAAAGAAAAACAGTAATATCCAACAACTTAATCAATTATAAAATTGTAATACTATAACAAAAATAAAAAAAACAATAAATAGAACTCTCTTCCAGAAATTAATATACTAATTTAAAACAAATCGCCTAAAATGAAACATATGCCTTTAATCATGTAAAAATACTATATTGAATTGTGCATAGAATTTGCTTGTAAAATATTATGAAATCTGTATCAAAGGGAAACCTATTTCAGGGGAAAACTGTCTTATCAAATATGGGTGAATTACACATTTCAAGATTGGTATCTCCCACTCTCTCAATATAATCCTGTTGTCTATTTCTCATGCCTGATATAACAATAGAATGTCTTTCCACCTATTTTTACTTTTTCCACAAAGATAAACATTCATTTGACTCAGTATCAAAATTCAATCTACATGCCAATAAAGCCCAAATATGTCTTAAGTGCATTTAACCCAGGAAATTAAAGACTTTTTTTGCTGCATGTTGACCCAAGAAATTGTTAGGAATCTAACAGAGATAGATAATAACTCTCAATTAAGCCCATATACACTTAGAATTCTCATTCTAGTTAAATATAAATCCAATCATATTTTTGATAGTCTGATAAATGAAAGCCTCTTTCAAAAAAGAGTCTCAGCTTAGCCTAAAAAAATCTTTGTGAACCTGCCACATTAGTTTAACACAAATACCATATGAAATAAAAGTATACACTAAATGTAGTATGATATATCTATATATATACATATATCAGGGGTGAAATGCTCCCGGTTCGGACCAGATCGCCTGATCTGGTAGCGATGGAGGCGGGTGGTTCGGAGAACCGGTAGCAAAAATCCCTGGCCCCCCCATGCCCAGCTGAGCCGCACAATCATCAGAGGCTTTTTTTTTACTTTTAAAAGCATTTTTTTACAACCTCTTTGCTGAAGAGGTTGTAGAAAAAATGCTTTTAAAAGTAAAAAAAAAAAAAATTGGCCATGCCCACCCAGTCACATTATCCCACCACCACCAAGCCACGCCCACAGAACTGGTAATAACAGATTTTAGATTTCAATGGCTCCCATAATTGAAATAGAAAAACACCCCCATAACATGAATAAACGTGACAATACCTCCCGCCTACCAGACATCTGGAAACTAGCCCTTGTCAACAAACGAGTCCCAGCACCCACAGACAGAAAAATCTACACCCAGAAGCCAGAAACACACACCCTGAGACCTCCAACCAAATCACATTCCAGCCAGCCACAAAGATGAAGCCCTGCCACCTGGTGGAGAAAAACCGACCATACACCCGAAACCAAGCCAATAGACACAGACTGGGACTCCCAACCAATCAGAACGAAGAGGTGGGGCCATCCCAGCAAAGCAGACTACCAGCACCAGATTTGAAATAGTAACGGCAGTTGCTGCAGAAGACCCCTTGCATAAGCCTGATGATGGCAGATGAGATTCTGTCGAAACGTTGCCAAAGTGCTTTCAATCTTACACGGGAGAAGACCCGAATACACCAAGACTTTGTTTTTGTCCCTGTAAAGGTACAATATTTGTTTTTCTTTCTTTTTCGTAGGTTTATGTGTATTTCTCTTTAGCCAGAAGAGAAAATTTTCTTCTGGCTGGCTGCCAGAAGAAAAAAAGCCCAGAAACTAGTGAATTGTGATTTCACTGAACTAGGGCTGCATAATATCTTGGTTTACATAGGTAGAACCTGGATAAAGAGAAATACACATAAAACCTACGAAAAAGAAAGAAAAACAAATATTGTACCTTTACCGGGAGGATACATGAGATGAGGGTGTGGCTAACTGATGAGGCCTTATAAGGCCGAAATAGATCTATCTTAGTCTTCCAATGGGCAGCAAAGGGTCTGCTGGCTGCCAGAAGAAAAAAAGCCCAGAAACTAGTGAATTGTGATTTCACTGAACTAGGGCTGCATAATATCTTGGTTTACGTAGGTAGAACCTGGCTAAAGAGAAATACACATAAAACCTATGAAAAAGAAAGATATAGACCTATGAAAAAGAAAGATACAGAAAACAAATATATATATTTGTTTTCTGAGGTTTTTGTGGGTGTTTGTATGTAGGTCTTTGGTTATTTGGGTTTTCTTCCGCGTAGAATTGGAAGTGTCTTGGCGATGTTGAGACTTCGTCAAAACGTCGCCAAGACACTTCCAATTCTACGCAGGAGAAAACCCGAATAACCAAAGACCTACATATATATATTGTGTGTGTGTGTTTGTGTGTGTGTCTATATATCTCATTGAAAATCCTTAACTGGATCACTAATAATTAAGTTATCGAAAGACATAGCAATTTGTTTTGTAAAACTGCTAAAATTTATCAGAGCAATGTGTCAATCAAATCTCTTCAAAGAATAGGATATACATTATCTATATATTCTTAAACCCTATAAATATTTATAGATTTTTAAAATAAAACTATGACTCCAGCAACCTTAGTATTATTACTACCAATATATAATAAACCCACCAAACCATTTTTTTTTCTTATAATGACCCTGTAATTCCCTGTACCGGGATGGAGTCAGGATGACTGAATGGCGTTGAGCATTTCCTGGCTGGATGCCCTTCCTGATGCCTACACGGAGTATGCAGCATATATTTTCACTAAGCACCCAGAGAGAAAAATATCTATTGCTACCTAGGATCTAATTCACAGCTTCCTAATTGTGAGGCAATAGCACCACCTCTAGGCTACCACGCCACTCAGTATCAATAGCAAACCAATATACACAAAAGATTTTCCGTCATAAAGTATCTCCTGTAAAAGGATAACTTCGTGTCAGCCCTTAAAATTATGCCATGTCACAAGACTGACATCACAAGAAATACTAAAACTTGACTATGTATTGATACAATAGCAGAATCTTGACAATGTGACAGTGTTTTTCCTCCTCTTATACCAAAGAGAGTGAAGACAGAGCAATTGTAATTTTCTTTCTCCCACTTTTTTGTTTTCTAGGCTGAGCTCAATATTTTTGCTAATGATCACCACACACCTTCTACAAGGCTATTTCTTTTTTGTTCCTCTACACCTCTTCATTGTATAGCTTTTTAAAACAGTGTTTAAGGTTAGTAACATTACACGTTCTTTAATATTCTGGTTTAATAACCTAAACCCATGATGGCGAACCTGGGGCACGCATGCCAGAGGTGGCACGTAGAGCCCTCTCTGTGGGCATGCACGCTGTCGGCAGCTGCTCTTCTGATTTCCAGTGCACGTATGCACTCTGGCCAGGTGATCTTCACACGTGCCAGAGCCTCGGAAACCCGAAGACCAGTTGGCTGGTGCACATGCGTGCGTAGGCCAGCTGGTCTTCAGGTTTCTGGCACTCTGGCACGTGCGAAGATCAGCTGGCATGTGTGTACCGGAAACCAGAAGACCAGATGACCAGCTGGTCTTCAAATTTCCGGGGCTCCGACATGCGTGAAGACCAGCTGGCTGGTGCACATGCGCGTGCCGGAAAGGTTCGCCATCACTGACCTAAATATTGAAATGTAATAAAATAAATAAAAAAGGGCAAGCCGTTTTTGATAGCAAAATATGAAATGATCATAGATGTAAAAATTATGAGCTATCTAATAATAATAACTAGTATACTGTTATACTGAGGTAAATTAAAAGGAAAATGAGTATGAACAAAAAACATAAAACAAGAATAAAATAAATGACTTCCTAGGAGACTCTATTTGTTGATTTGTTTAAAAGACCTGTATGGTTGCCTATGCTAAAGCACAACTCTGGGCAGCTCATAGCAACAATAAAACCACAAACACAATAAAAATCATAATAATTGCAAAAAAAAAAAAAAAAAAAAAGCCAACTGCAGGCGACTTTGGGGCAGTCACTCTTGTTCAGCCCAACCCACCTCACAGGGTGGTTGTTATGGGGAGAATAGGAGGAGGAAGGTGTGTTGGAAATGTTTGCTGCCTTGAATTATTTGTAAAAATAATAAAGACAGGATGAAAATAAATAAATATAAATAAATAAAAAACAAAATGAAGACCTGGTGCCTTAGTCATTCTCCTGAGATGTCCCAAGGCTCCATAGCTCTTCAGTTTCTATTTCTATCACATTCACTACCTGACCCCATTCTTCCCTTCTGTAGTTTCACTAGGCAAACAAGTGCCAACATTATTACTAAAATAATAAAATACTAATAATACAAGAGCAAAACTGGAAAAGAAGGATCCAAATAAAATGCACCTTCTTTACAACTCAGGTGGAACAGAATTAGAGCAGACAGAATTTTTAAGTGATTCGAGTTGGCAAAATCGGAATGTAATAGCCATGCACTATTTTTTTGCAGACGGATCAAATGCAAATACCAACCTTCTTAAATACTATGGCTTCTTCTTCCCATACAGGATTCACAGCATTGCCTTGAGATGTCTTTGTCTTGAGAGCTTTTCTTCTCGTATCCACAGGCAGACCAAACATATCTACTTCGACATAAGTTCCAACTTTTTTGTCAGAAAGTAACTGCCCAGAAATGACCTAAAAAGGAAAGTTTGAGACATTCTATTAACATACCTTTGCTTCAATTCATTTCACATTGGCTAAAGGGCTTGTTTTCTTAATATGTAAAGCTTATAACAAGAGAAAATGGTTGGGAGAGTCTACCATAAGTCCTTCACCACAGACTGATCACTCTGTAATTGTCTTGGAAGGAGTACCTATCCCAGGCACCTGTTGGACCCAGCTTTGTTTCAGAAGGAGCTTGGGCTCATTCTTGAAGGTCTGTTGCACAGTTCAACTGGGACCTTGAATTAGATTGGGCCTATGTGGCTCTCCTCAGTTTACAAAAATGTTGAGTGACAAAATGACAAAAGAAGCATAAAGAGTACCACTGGAGGACAACAAAGAATAACCACACATCTTAGAACCTTTATTCAAGGCTGGTTTGTGGTGATAAAACTAGCAGAAAGTGCATATTTTTCTTCCTTTATCAAGTCCAAAGATAGTCAATTGGCAACCCTACTGAGTTGTGGAAGATTGTATCCCAATTTGGTAGGACACAGTCTGTCATTACTACAGGGCCATTGTGAGGAATATTCTAAGCATTTGTTAAGATAAAATTGCTCAGATTGGCTTGTATAGGTCTGGTTTTGTTAGCGGGGATGAGTTTGAACCTGCTAGTCCCAAGGAAGCAGACACACTCCTTAAGGCTGTGAGTTTGACCAGCTATATATTAGATCCCCGTCCATTCTGGTTGGAGGCCTCCTGGGAGATGACATGTGATTGATGGTAAATTCATCCCGGAGAGTGGGAGTGATCCTGCTGATGTTTAAGAAAGAGGTGATCCTACATCTCTTCAAATAGCTGTAGTTCAATTTTCATTGGGCCTCCAACCTTCCATTTTTAGGGAAAGTTGTTGAGAAGGTGCTTATATTGCAGTTTTAGAAGCCCCTGGAGGAAGTGGATTATATGGATGGATGTCTTTCAGTCAGGCTTCAGATCTGGATATGGGAACAAAATGACATAGACATGCAAATGACCTATAGTGGGGATAATGCACCCATCTTTTCTCTCCTTGATCTTTCGGTGGTTTTCAACACCATCAATTGTGACATCCTTCTAGACCAGTTGAAGGGGGTTAGAAGATGGCAGTTTAGTGTTGCAATGAATTTTCTTCTTCTTCCAGAATTGGTTCCAGTGAATATTCATAGGAGAGGAGATAACTGATCCCTTTTTTTTTGTGGTCTCCCCTCAGATAATAATGTCTCCCTACCCTTCTGTATTTCTTGACTACTGGTTCCTTTACTGCTGATGGTTGATTCTAAAAGGCAGAAGCTATTCACCATTTTGATATGTTCATTATCGATTCTAAGGCTAGTTATTTTACCTTTGCCATCAGTTTGATCTTCTTTATATAGTTAATTAAGCTTGTTTTCTTGTCCAAACATGTGTATCATCTCCCTTTCTTCAATTTTGGGCATAATTTCTATTTTCCTGGTTATAAATATCTGAATGTGACTTGTTCAATATGCTTATAACATATGCTGATAACAAGTACCTTGCATATATGAGATTCACACTTGTTAAAAATATTGGGAATGAGTACATGTGAACTTATTTTGGTCTTTCAGGTTCATTATGCTGATAGAATTTAGCAGATGAGCAACTGGATACCTACCTTAACAGACAAAGTGTTTGCGACTATTCCATCTACAATACTTTCCGTAAATGGATCGAAATGTTTGTCTGGTCTTCTCATGAACTCTGGTTTTAGTCTGTATCCACTTTTGCCATTATACTCATACATCCCCATATTTATTTGCATAGACAAATCTATATGAAAAAAATAATTGTGTTATGGGATACTATACAAATATATGTTAATGGGACAATAGAGAAAGCCTAACAAATTGACAAAAGTACAACACTGAAATTTTATTAAAGGCTTCCTGGCCTCTTTAAAAATTCGAAGTTAAAACAGGTAGTCCTTGACTTACTATCACAATTGACCCCAAAATTTCTGTTGTTAAGTGAGACTTTTGTTAAGTGAGTTTTGCCCCATTTTACAACCTTTCTTGCCACAGTTGTTAAAGTGAATCACTGCAGTTGACAACTTAGTAACACGATTGTTAAGTGAATCTGGCTTCCCCATTGTTTTTGTTTGTCAAAAGATTGCAAAAGGGGATCACGTGACCTTGGGACACAGCAACGGATGTAAGTATGAGTCAGGTGCCAAGCATTTGAATTTTGATCATATGATCATGGGAATGCTACAAAGGTTATAAGTGTGAAAAATGGTCATAAGTCACTTTTTTTCCAATGCCGTTGTAACTTAAATGATCACTAAATGAACTGTTGTAAGTCGAGGAGTACCTGTATACTGAAGTCTGTCTGTAAAAATAAGAAGCTAATTTTCCATTCAACATACAATATTTTGAGCTTACTTTCAGGACTATTCACAAGGTTTTTTTAAAAAAAACTATATCCAAGACAATGATAGATAATAGATTTTTATGTATATATAGATTGCATATTTCTGATATGCTCAACAATAACAGCATGTAAAGTGCTGTGACGTTTGCCTAAAGTGCTCTGAATAATAATAAACCTATTTATGCTGCCCACTGAATCTGGGCAAAACAGCATGGACTAAAACCAGCTGGATGAAGAGACCTCTTAGTCTTTATCCATGGTCTGGTTACATTATATATTGAATTTTTTTTTTTTAAAAAAAAACTACCATTAGCCCCTCATTAGCTGAAAAGGATTCTATTTAAGTTCTGGTCTAATTTTTATTTAGATGAAAAGGAAGGAGAGACAATGTCATTTGCCTCACTACATGTTTGGCAAGTTGTAACAAAGCAGAAGTGAGGTAGTCAGGTGCTAGAAACAAATATCTCTGATAATTAATAACTGCCGGCTGTGCTGCCAAACTCATTAAAACCACGTGTCCCTTTTTAATAAAGCAGCTAGTGCTTTCATTTTGATTTCACACCAACTGATCTTCTTTGAAAATATGGATTCTCAGCACTGAATGGGTAATGCAGTTCTGAACTGGGTAAATGAAAGGCTTTCCGCATTATCATGTCTGAGATTCAGAAGGGAACAGAAACAAATGAACAATCACTTGCTAATATTAATTTCCTACTGCCTATAATCACATGTTTTTCACTGCTCATATTCATAAGCTTATTATGTTTTCTCGGATATATTGCTGGTATTAAAATATGTCCCTCGTTTTAATATCACAATAGAGCTAGGATCAAAAAATCCATCAAAGAGACATGGAGAATACCAACCCATGTAACGAAATAAATGGTAATCATGATTTGCTTAAAAAGCTTCTATTAATGCAGATTAATTAATGCAGGAAGAGTCCTCCACTCCTCTGCTCTTAACAAAATACCTTATGCCACCAGACTTGAAATTCTGGGTTTAGAAAATTTAGAACTACGCCGCCTTCGGTATGACCTAAGCATAGCTCATAAAATCATCTGCTACAATGTCCTACCTGTCAATGTCTTACCTGTACTTCAGCTTCAACCACAGCATTACACGAGCACACAATAGATACAAACTTAAAGTGAACCGCTCCAAACTCGATTGTAGAAAATATGACTTCAGTAACAGAGTTGTTAATGCCTGGAATGCACTATCAGACTCTATGGTCTCATCCCAAAACCCCCTAAACTTTAACTTAAAACTGTCTACTGTTGACCTCACCCCATTCCTAAGAGGTCTGTAAGGGGCGTGCATAAGAGCACCAGCGTGCCTACCGTCCCTGTCCTAATGTTCCCTTTAATTGTATTCATTTTATGTATTCAATTCATGCTTATACTTATATACATTATCTAATATGTACTCGACAAAATAAAATAAAATAAATAAATAAATAAATAAATAAATAAATAAATAAATAAATAAAAAAGATTACTTATTCATGCCAAAGTTTTAAAGAAGCAATTGGTTTCAGAAGTAGGCATGCCACTCTTAGTACCTTTAATTTTTCACAAACTTGATGCTTCATTATCTACTATTCTTCCTTATCAGAAAACATACAGTAACATAGATCTTACCTACAGTTTGGAAGTTAAGAGCAACCATTTGACAGCCTGCATTCCAGAATAGCTGAGGCATGTAATTTGAGGAATCAACACGTGTCCCTTTGGGGTAAATTCGGCTCAGCTGCATTTTATTATACCTAAATTGTGAGTGGTTAAGATAAAATACAACCGGAGAAACTACTAGATTAAAAGTTTGCACAACAAATTACTTGTTAATTTTGGAAAGAAATGGTGACGCCAGATTCAGCTCTGGCTTTTTCTTATCTATTGCTGTTATCAACTTGATAGGTAAGTAGTTGTATCTGGCCTTAAAACAATAATAAATTTGATCTGATAGTAGGGATGGAACTGATTCTGAGAACCTTAATAAAACAGGTTGATTTGCAAAATGAGTATGTTTGCTAGGAATTATTGTAGAAAAGAGTAAAAACAAACAAATTCAAACTTCTTTGTTGTCCAAGGCCAGTCTATGGATAGCTGAGATAAGCAGCACTCACAGTGTACTCATCCACGCCATCATGACATAGTGAGCCTTGTCACTCCGAAGCAACTAGATTAACGGACACTTCTATAAAGAGGTTCCATCATACATGGCAGTAGAAGAGACTTAAAAATGGCTGCCATCATCATGTAATAATATTGGCTTCACAGTCCCACAAAGTACTGATTTATAGAATCAAAAGAGCCTCTATGCATTTTGCTTTGTATTTATGACAAATATTTGTGTCAAGCATTTAATGTTTTGGTGCAAATGAGAAATTTTGATTCTTTTTTATATAAAATATAACAGCAAGAGAGAAAAAGAGTGGTAGAATCCAAGGACTGATCTTATTTTTTGGACAGATCCTGAAAATAAATCTACAAAACTCAAGATTAATAAATAGATTAAAACATTCCAAAAAACCCTTATATATTTTAGAACAGAATTATTGCTCACTTGACACAAAATATGATAAATGGGGGTAAGAGGAAGACTATAATGTCACTATTGGAAACATGAAAAGCTTCCTCATATTAATGGAGTCTTAAATCTGAAAATGTCAAGTTTGATTGGCAGCCACTCTTCAGTAGTAATTATGTTTCTTATCACCAGTTACTGTAGTTGTTTTGATTTTAATTGAAAATGTCATAGAGCAGCAATATGTCATCTGTTCTATGCTAAAATTTGTCCACGTAGAATCCACTCTGAGCAACTATAGATTTATCCAGATATAATTGATAAGTACTTAACTAGGAATGTAAACCCCATTCATTTCTAAGTTTTAATTAAAAAGGATGAATACTTTTGTAGGGGAAAAAACCCCTGATGTATCTATCAACATCACTTTGCTATCCTAATACTTATATATAGTGGTGTTGGGTGCATGTTTCTTCAACCTAAATTAATTTTCAGTAATGGTCCTCAGCAGCCTCTATTCCTCAGATTGAAGGTTTTCTAAGATATTTTTCTCAATTTCAAAGATACTCCACAAATTCGACAGGAGATTTTGTGAGCTGTTCAAGTGCTTTGGTTTCCACAAAGGAAGACATTTCAAAACTCTTGTTCCGTTCTGTAATTTAAAAAGAAAAAAATATCACAGTTTTTAAAATTAAGATTATGCTTTATGTTGCTCAACATAAATCCATCCATCCAGCATCGCATCAAAGCTTTATCTTGTTCATGATTCAGTTCCCAAAGAGGTGAACTAAAAACCCAGGAATTCCTGTAATTGGGGAAAAAACATGTAATAGTTTATATTGTGGCAGCAGGGGTCCATACACTTCAGATAGTGAAGACAATAGACAAATCTGTTTGTAGTTTTCAGTACACGTTTTTATCTATCTTCCCATCATTTTACATTGGATATGTCTGGTTTTTAATAATATGACTGGGGCAAAACTTACAGGCAGCTATCATCTAGATCTGCAGTACTCGAACCATGTTCCCTGGAGGTCCAGGCTTTCACAGACTCATCCAGCGGTTCAACACGACTATCTAAGAGCTACAGCGGTCTTTATTCCTTTGTTTTATTTCAAAAAAGAATTGTCTGTGATAAGGTATTACATAAATATTATTTGCTACTGCACTGCACTGATTTTTTCACATTGAGAATGGTCCCTCAGGTATCTCAAGTCTGAAGACCACTGACTAGACCAGGGGTCCTCAAACATTTTAAACAGGGGGCCATTTCACGGTCCCTCAGTCTGTTGGGAGGGATGGACCAGCTAGGTGGGTGTGGCTAGGTGATCATGTGACTGGGTGGGTGTGGCCAATTTAGCAGTCCATTAAACAATACACACAAATTAAACTTGGTTATGCTCCTGGGATTGGAAAACAGGTTAGTGAAGGGATGTGGCTGCCTTGTGTGTGTATGTGTGTCTCCCTCTCCCTTTCTCTCGGCCACAGAGACTCCCCCCTCTCTCTCTCAGCCTCCAGTACTACTCTGCTGCTCCAAAACGGGCCCATTTTTGGCCACTCGAGGACTCCGTGCATCCCATTTTTGGCCTCCTTGACCTCCAGTACCACTCTGCCACCCAAAAATGGGCCCGTTTTTGGCCTCCCGAGGCCTCTGCACATTCCATTTTTGGCCTCTTTGGCCTCCAGAAGGTGGGTGGGGGCTGGCGGGTAGGTGGGGTGATGTGGCAGGGTAACCTCGTGGTCCCTCATGGGCTGGATAATGGCTTTGGCAGGCTGTAAGTGGTCTGTGGGCTGTAGTTTGAGGACCCCTGGACTAGACCAATGGTTTGCTTATTTTCAAACCATCTGTATACTGTTTACATAACAGGAAAACTGATGTCATACTAGTTACACCATGCTGCAAATGATGCCTATGAAAGTTTAATCACTGGACATTTGGAAAGTAAAATAGGCTGTAGAAAATATTGCTATCAACTGAACTGCAAGAGTTGATAAAACAAAACCTAG